CAGGGCCTTCGGTGGCATACTCTGGAGCCGTGAGGTTGCACTAAGTATTAATTTTTTTTTGGTGCATGGCGTAAAGAAACTGAATAACTGTGTTTGGATGTATAAAACATTTTTGTAAACCCTCCTTGCATTAGCTGAGCAATGCATCATTACAAAGTTGAAAACGTGTTTCTGAACTCACAAATGTCATACATGTTTCTCATAGCCAAGCTACGACAATGAGCTAACATACACAGCCGTACATAAGGTAGACTGGTTAAAAACACTTTAATCTCAATTTGCACGTGTCTGCACAATGAGTTTTGAATAGAGGACTTTTCCTTTTAGTGGAGTATTTTCATAGTCTGGTATAATTTCTTTAACGTAAAGGAGCTGAGAACTTCTTGTACCAGTGGTTATTTGCCTTTGAAAAGAGGAGTTAGTGAAGATATAAAGTTTTCCTATGATTCAGGTTGTCTAGTGCAGGTAAAATACACATTTAAAGTGTCTTTAAATTTAAACTGTAAGCAAAGATTCTACATTTGACCAGCTGCATAACTTAATTTGAATTGAAGTTCATGTGCTGTGATGCAAACGTGTATAATGCATTTTATATCTTTTGTAGATGCATCATTCAATAATTTGTGAAAAGCCTGCAGTAACACACTACACAAAATGCTGCAGTCTGTACCACTGCCCCCTTTGCCCCAAATACAATCCAAGCCCAGTAGTAGTATTTTGCTGTTCCAGCAACCCAAGAACAGAAATAGCAATGAAATTAATGGTGGCTAAAAATAAGAATACAGAATAATACAACAGAAAATGTAAAATAGAATAAATAAGTTGGAATACAACAAAAGTGCAATACAGTTAAATTAAATGATAATGATGTGGCCTCAAAGTACACTTTATGTTGTCCACAATGAAATAATGTACAACCTATAACATTTTATGGGATGTTGGATGATGAATATAAGTTAAGAAAATAAGTATACCGACTAACGTTATTCCTGCTCTCTATGTATGCTGATTGCCGTCATTTTTAAAATATTTGACCTAAACCTCTTTTAAAGATCCTCGATTTACAGTAGTAACAGAGCCTCGAGTCATATCAGCCACCATTATCTGTTTTCCATAATGACTTAAGTCATAAGATCCCGCAGTACACTATTCTTAACACATCAATCATAAATTATACGTATTTTGGAAAAGACGAGAAGAGAGACTCATTCATATCATTAGGCTAAACATTGGCTTTTTGTTCTATTTGGACAAAATAAATAAATATCGAATGTAAGATACTGTCACTAGCAAAATAGTTGCTTCACGGGCATAAATATCCACGTTTGCTATTGACGAAAAGGTAAAAACAATAAATACTTCTTAAAAATATATAAATGACAAAATAAACACAAAACAAAAACAACAAAATAAGTAAATTCTAACTACACTACTCACAATAAGTTAGGGATATTGTGAGAGTGGATGTCATACATACGGTGTTTGTGTCACTTCAGACATTTTTGGGATAGGGAGGCAATTGTATTGGGGTGATAGACACACCTCATTTTGTGTTTTCCATGTAATGGTCTCATTGTGTACAGGTGTGCCTTAAATTGGGGCCAATGCCAAAAGAAAACCCTTTTCAATGTAGCATCAATTTCAACATTCTGTGGGTATAAAAAGCTGTCAGTAAGTCATTCCAAGTTCATCATTCAAACAGCCATGAACACACGACGTCACTGAATGGACGAGCAGCGCCACCTGGCCATGGTCACGCCTTCGGGTCGGTGGCAGGCAGTCAGATGTTGCTCGTGAACTTGCTGTGTTTTAAAGTGTCATCAGCAGACTTGCATCAAGACACAGAACTACTGGCAGAGTTCATGACTTACCCAGGAGTGGAGCCCCACGAGTGACAGACCGCAACGATGACCAGTACCTAAGGACCTATGCACTCAGACATCGTCATGCAACTGCCACACAGCTGCAGGCCCGTTTACAAGATGCGAGGGGTACTAGGGTTTCCAGACAAACCATTCACAACCGACTCCACCGCTTTGGCTTGAATGCCAGACGACCGATGCAGGTGACTCCACTGACACCAAGACACCGCCGTGAACATGAAAAGCACTCATGTAAATAACAATCTCCCTAACTTATTGTGAGTAGTGTATATACAACCAGGTACATAAAACGATATATACTATAGAAGAGGAATGAAGAGATTGCCGTTATATTGTTTAGTACTGAATGCGGAAGTGACTCCACAGTGGAGGTCTGCAGCCAGGTGCTCTTGGGATTAAATACATTTTCATGGTAAAGAAGGACTTTGCAATTAATTGCAATTCAACTGATCACTCTTCATAACATTCTGGACATTATGCAAATTACCATCATAAAAACTGAGGCAGCAGACTTAGTGAAAATTAATATTTGCGTCATTCTCAAAACTTTTGGCTACAACTGTACATTGGATCAGATCACATTCTCCTCAGCCCTCAAAAAAGTGTATTGTGTATGGAAATAAGATTTTAAAAACTGATGTTCAAATATTTTCTTAATAATATTCTAAACTGTAGAATAACAATAGAAAATTGATTTACATTTTTAAAATAACTGATCAAAACGTTTTTTTTTCTGGTTGCAGAACACTACACCACAAACACTAAATGTAAGTGTCTCATATACATTAAATGTACATGCATAACACACGAAAAAAAACTCTGCCAGCTTCATACCTACTTAAATACATTTCAGTAACTAAGCTAAAATAGAAACAAGTGTCAGATATATCAAATAAGCGTCATCAAAAAGTTTGCTTAGTTTGCAACATAGTCATCCCAACACGAATTTAGGCCTGATTTTATATTGGCAAAATGCATATGCATAAGACTAACCAAAACAATCGCTTCAAATCTACTCAGATACATTTTAGGACCTCTCCTGGAATAGAAACAAGTGCCAGACAAATCAGAGAAGCATCATCAAAAAGGCATATAGAGGGGATATATATAGATATACAGTGAGGTCAATAAGTATTTGATCACCCTGTGATTTTGCAAGTTCTCTTACTTAGAAATCATGGAGGGGTCTACAATTTCCAGCATAGGTGCATTTCCACTGTGAGAGACAGAATCTAAAAAGAAAAATCCAGAAATCACATTGTATGATTTTTTAACAATTTATTTGTGAATTACTGTGTCAAATAAGTATTTGATCACTTGAGTCAAAAAAAAAATTATATTTGGCACAGAAGCCTTTGTTAACAATTACAGAGGTCAAACGGTTCCTGTAGTTCTTCACCAGGTTTGCACACACTGCAGGAGGGATTTTGGCCCACTACTCCATACAGATCTTCTCTAGATCTGTCAGGTTTCGGGGCTGTTGCTGAGCAACATGGAGTTTCATTTCCCTCCAAAGATTTTCTATTGGATTTAGGTCTGGAGACTGGCTAGGCCACTCCAGAACCTTGATATGCTTCTTACGGAGCCACTCCTTGGTTTTCCTGGCTGTGTGCTTTGGGTCATTGTCATGTTGGAAGTAGGATAGAAAACCTACTGGATAGTAGCTCTATAGGACTGGAGTTGGAAACCCCTGGACTAGGGTATACTACCTTTAGAGAAAGAAAAAAATCTGGTGAAACTTATTTTGTTTTCTGTAATTATATAATATATTATATGTCCCCGCATTCATTTTCCACCCTGTGAGCCTCTACTTTCTTGTCTCCCTAAAAAGATTACAAATCCATACAGCCATTTCCACGAAGTGACATCATTTGTTTTTGGGGGGAAATTCAACTGGAAGACTAAGGTAAGCTTTAACTGTCAGTTTCTCCTGTATTTTTCTCAATTTTATATTACACACCGGTTTGAGGCACCCTTAAAGTTCCACCCTGTTAGTATATATTATGAGAAATATTTATTGGAAAAAATATTTTTTAAAACATGCTAAAAATAGCTATTTAAATGCTGATAAACTGTAGAGTGTGTGCTAGCTAAATGTTGCTCACTCAAAGAGCTAGAGTCAACACAACATGATATACAGATGTTATTTAAAAGTTAGTGGTCACATTTATTTAGTCAACATAATTTTAAGTAAAATACTGTAATCAAACAATGTGCACACGTCACATGAATCAAATGCAAACTACAAATACTATATACCAATACAAACTGCACATCAAATTGTGCATTAATAAGAATAAGGACAACTGCTTAAAAGATTCTGACATCTTGATGTCTGCAGTGGCATGTGATTACAACACACTGCCAATGATATCAAGCCTGTTGTTCAGTAGGGCAAGAAGAATAGAACACAGACATTATGGACAAATAACAGATTGATAAACTAGTACAGTTAGATGAAATACTTAAAAATGTATATATATATATATAGAGAGAGAGAGAGAGAGAGAGAGAAAGAAAGAGAGAGAATGAGAGCATCACTGTTAATATGCATATTTTCAGAGAGGACGGAGAGAGAGAAAACAGTTCACATTTTAAAATAGTGGTTGATTGTACTTCAGGAAAACTAAACATTGCAACATCTAGCCTGTGATGCTGGATCTAATGTTTGAATAGCGCTACACTTATTTTGCGCGTATAACGCGCATTTTGATTGGATGAGCGCCAATGTCTGAATCACAACAAAATGCATCTATGTCATTGATTGGTTGCATTTGAAGGGCGCGAAAGGTGAAATAATAATAATGTTGCATTATCGAATGTTACATTGTGTGTCATGGATACTTTTCACTCCAAATCTCCTGACCACTATGTCGATCTGAGACAGCAAGACCAAGACAGCGAGAACCAACACAAGACCAAGGGATCCAAGACCAAGACCAAGACCAAAGACCGTTGAGACTGTGACAAGACCAAGACCATGTAAAAGTGGTCTTGAGACCGGTTTCGAGACCAAGACCGGTCTTGAGACATCCAACTCTACCCATAATTATAATATTTTCAACCCCTGAGCTTGGCAAACATGCATTCCTCATAGCTAAGTATGGTATAGTCCTGACAAAATGTTTAAACCATAAAATACAATCATTCCAATTTTCAGAAAACAGACAGCCAAATATTTGGTCCAAAACAGGAATCACCCTTTTAAACTTTTGCTATGTATAACATAGTTTTGTCAGCAGGGGTGTAGCTAGAAATTCTGGGTCCCCTGATAAAATGTCACCTTGCCCTCAATTTTCCGGGTAATTTCTTATATTCAAAATCCCCTGTCAACTGCAGGGTCCTCAAAATGTGCCAGCATGTCCATGCCTCTTCCAAGCCCCATTTGCTGCTCTTTTACATGTTTTAAATACCTATTACCTCTGAGTCCAGAAGAGTCAAAGCACACACATGATTAATGGACTGTGGAAGAGATGAACTGGGTACGTAAGGCTGGGGGCTCCTCTGTGATGGAGGGGGAGATTGTGGAGATATGCATCGTGTATTGGGGCACCTCCACTATGTCCATGCTGTCTTCCTGATTTCCTGGAGACAGAGAGCTTTCACTGAGAACCAGCTCATCCATGTTGACCCCCATCAGTGGCCCCTCCCGAGGACCATTGACAAGGCGGACTAGGCTGCGTATCTGTGGGAGGTCCCAGATGGTCTCCATCACCACCAGGAGCACCACCAGGCCAACCAGCAAGTAACCTACAAAGAAAAGTTTTATATACTATGATTCCATGTTTCCATACAAATTTACCCCAGCACTAAACATCTTCTATCATTAGCACACATCATGCCCAGAAAAAGTGGATGGCTTGCTTTACACATTGTGGCATATTTGGTTTCTGCCTTTGGATTAGTAAATCTATATGTTGATATCATATTTAGATTAAACTTGCAGTATATTAGTACCATGAATAACCACTGATTTATACATAAAAATGATTTAAAAACTTGTATCTGCTTTTAGCCCTGGCCACTGGAAGGTGTTTCTCAGTAAATTTGCAGTAAAGGTAATGTGCATGTAACAATGAGGCACGGCATCCCCACAGGAGGTGGCGAATTCCAGGCCCTGTCGCACAGCCAGGCTGCGGGTCCTTCCCGGCAGGTAGTCCCCCAGACCGATGGTACTGAGGGAGATGAAGCAGAAGTACAGGGACTCCAGGAAGCTCCAATCACGCTCCAGCAAGCAGAGCCCAGCGGCAGGCAACAAGAAGAAGAGCAGTGCAGTGCAGGTGAGTAACAGACCGACATGGAGCAGGGAAGCCTGGTGATAGGACATCCCCCAGCGCTCCTGCAAGTGGCGCACTGGAGCGTGGGTGACAGAAGGCAGAAGGCGTTGGGTGGAGGATGACATCAGCAGCATGGTAAGTGGCATGCCCGCCAGGCAGTACAGCACACAGAAGACCTTGCCTTCATCGGAGAGGGGGACAGTGTTGCCATAACCTGCATTCAAACAGAATGTGTAATATTGGTCACGCAGTAACCTCAAAAGTTTTAGTTAGGTATGTGAGCTTTCAAGGGGATCGACATACAGCAATTTACAAAGGTGAACTGAGAAAAATGAAAACTAACCAGAGGCTCTCAGTAAAATCGTAATTTAGACCCTCCACTGATTCATTTAGGTCACTACCCTCCACTAAAACTTTGTGAATAATTGGTTGTTTCTGAACGAATCAATGAAGAAAATGGATAATTTTGGTCACCATGCTGATTTCTTCTTCTTGCTGACTGAGTACATCATGCCGTTCATGTCAAAGACGCCCTCTTTTTCGTTTGCAATCCAGGAGGGGCCAAGAACAGCATTTTTCAATTATTATTACTTGTAAAATTTAGTGTGATATGCCCACAAAATACTAAATAGAGCTCATAAATCCCTCACTTTTTCATACTCTTCAACTAATTATGCTGTGCTCACATTTTGGTTATTAGTGTATTTGCCTGAAGATGTGCCTGCAATGCTAGAAGATGTACCAGAGAAGGAAATGCAGCCAGTGAGTATATACACACACACACGTCATTTTAGAGCTGTGATGTCTTCATTCTAAAATGAAAAATATCAAATAGTACAAATAAACTTTTGACTGGTACTGTACGTACTTACCTATCAACTATTTTTTAAATGAAATTGCCTTTTATTATAATTCAGAAACAATGTATTTACAACTAGCATTCACGCATTAAACTATAAACGGAGGGACTATCCTCCAGGTTGGAGACCACTTTCAATGGAGACCACTGTTCTATATAGTTAAACTAAATAAAAACGAAAGTTTAGTGCGCATGAAAGTTACAAATAAAATAGGGCTTTAAGCTATAAGTCAAAATATGGTACAAAAATAATAAAAGTGACGGCCGGAATATCAAGTGATGGCACCAACCTGTGGTCGTTAAATAAGTAGTGACGAAGAACAGGGATGAAGTAAAATCATTGTTTAACTCGTCAGTGTCGGCATCCAGGACAGCTATCCGTCGCTTGCCGGCAAACAGCGCCTTCTTCAGCAGCTGGTCCAGGCGCTTTTCCTGGAGGCATCGGTTTTGTTCCAGAAAGAGCAGTCGGAGCCGCCGGACCTCGTCTAACAGAGCGCTCTCCTGTGGCTTTTCGAGGACCACGAAGACCAAGCCGCCGAAGATAATGTATAGCACATAGCTGACCACCATAATGGAAAACGCTCTAACCCGACAAAAGCGCGGACACACATAATACCTATTAACCATGATATTTATACTCGAAAATACCAGCGACAAGGTGCAATGTGAGCGAGCTGATCACCTGTGCTTGGCGTCTTGTAAACAAATATGCCGTCTCATATTTCCTAGGCAATTGTATTTAATAATTTAATGGGAAAGCATTAAACCGTAAGTATAATATGTATAACTTTATTTTTAAAAGCTTAAGGTACTAAACACTATATTTTACTATGCGGATAACCGTACTGGGTATAAGGGCAGGCTAAAAGCCCAAAATGAACTTGTATGGAATGTTTGTAGCCGGTGTATAATAATCATGATCGGTGGAAGATTGATTATACATATTCATTAAGCAACTCTATAAATTACAAATTTACCATACATTGTTTCTCCATTCAGGTTTGTCTGTCATCCGTGGATATGAAATGGAATATATTTTTTTATGAATATTTTAATTAGTTACAGTTTTGAGGTTAGCGAGTATGAACGTGTTTCAGTGATAAAATATTGAACATGGATTTTCACTTTATACACTCACCTAAAGGATTATTAGGAACACCATACTAATACGGTGTTTGACCCCCCTTTCGCCTTCAGAACTGCCTTAATTCTATGTGGCATTGATTCAACAAGGTGCTGAAAGCATTCTTTAGAAATGTTGGCCCATATTGATAGGATAGCATCTTGCAGTTGATGGAGATTTGTGGGATGCACATCCAGTTGCACGAAGCTCCCGTTCCACCACATCCCAAAGATACTCTATTGGGTTGAGATCTGGTGACTGTGGGGGCCATTTTAGTACAGTGAACTCATTGTCATGTTCAAGAAACCAATTTGAAATGATTCGAGCTTTGTGACATGGTGCATTATCCTGCTGGAAGTAGCCATCAGAGGATGGGTACATGGTGGTCATAAAGGGATGGACATGGTCAGAAACAATGCTCAGGTAGGCCGTGGCATTTAAACGATGCCCAATTTGCACTAAGGGGCCTAAAGTGTGCCAAGAAAACATCCCCCACACCATTACACCACCACCACCAGCCTGCAGAGTGGTAACAAGGCATGATGGATCCATGTTCTCATTCTGTTTACGCCAAATTCTGACTCTACCATTTGAATGTCTCAACAGAAATCGAGACTCATCAGACCAGGCAACATTTTTCCAGTCTTCAACTGTCCAATTTTGGAGAGCTCGTGCAAATTGTAGCCTCTTTTTCCTATTTGTAGTGGAGATGAGTGGTACCCGGTGGGGTCTTCTGCTGTTGTAGCCCATCCGCCTCAAGGTTGTGCGTGTTGTGGCTTCACAAATGCTTTGCTGCATACCTCGGTTATTTCAGTCAAAGTTGCTCTTCTATCAGCTTGAATCAGTCGGCCCATTCTCCTCTGACCTCTAGCATCAACAAGGCATTTTCGCCCACAGGACTGCCGCATACTGGATGTTTTTCCCTTTGCACACCATTCTTTGTAAACCCTAGAAATGGTTGTGCCTGAAAATCCCAGTAACTGAGCAGATTGTGAAATACTCAGACCGGCCCGTCTGGCACCAACAACCATGCCACGCTCAAAATTGCTTAAATCACCTTTCTTTCCCATTCTGACATTCAGTTTGGAGTTCAGGAGATTGTCTTGACCAGGACCACACCCCTAAATGCATTGAAGCAACTGCCATGTGATTGGTTGATTAGATAATTGCATTAATGAGAAATTGAACAGGTGTTCCTAATAATCCTTTAGGTGAGTGTATATAATGTGTTAGAGAAAATTTGTAATGTGTAATTAATGCTTCATTAGGAAATGAATACACAAAGCATATCAGCTTGTCCAAAAGACCCTCCCATTTCTGCCGATATGGAAATAATTTTACATTCATACTAGTGAACAAGTATTGATAGCATTTTTCATCTTTATGTGAATTAACATCAACCCACAGAAACACAAATCATAAAAACCACAATATTTACTATAAATTCACATGGGTACATATGTTACATGTAATACACATGTATAAAGGGAAGGACAATGACAATATCTTTTAAGTCTAATTTAGCATTAAAATGCTATATTAGACAATATGATGTAAGATTTATATGTGAAGGCTGCATTCCCTACAAACAGAAGCAAATACAGCCTTCTTTCCAAAAAGTGTCTACTTGGTGTGAGTTGAACATCCTGTGTCCTACTCTAATTCCATGCATATCACCCTTGGCACTCTGGTATGCAACAAAGTCCACAAAAAATGAACATGAAAGGATGAGAAAAAAGTACTACTGTACAACTGCAAATGTTACCTGTAAGAGAGCTAAGTGTGAGGCACAGTATGGGTTTCCTTACTGAAATGTTACCTCCCCAGTAACAGTCCAAAGAAATAGGAAATTGTTTATATTCTCCAGACAGTGAGGGGCAAGGGGACTCACGCCAGGCCAGAGGTCAGGCCGGCTGATCTGGGCCAGGGATGCACTGGCGAGCCCCTTTCAGCTTTAGTCTGGCTGCTGTTTGCAGTGGAGGTGGCTCACAGAGGCAGGTGCAGAGAGTAGTGGGAGCAGGCCCAGCGGCGCAGTGGCTTGCTGACCCTGCCGATGACAGGCAGCTTGTGGGCGTAGCCCCGAGGCGGCAGAGCCGATAAGGCTGCCGACGGAGTAAAGCTCGTCTGGAAGCGGCGGGCCTGGCACCGGCGACCCATCTGCCGTCCGCCAATGAGGAAGGAGAAGGCAGGGGGCCTGGTCAGCAGGGGGGCAAAGCGGGCCTTAGGGAAGACGTCACGGGATGGACCCAGTGGCCGCTGGCCTGGCCGAGCAGATGACGAGCGGGAGCGCTGCACTGATGACGAGCAGGAAGAGGAACGAGGCAAGGATCTGGGGGGAGGCAGAGAGGCAGGGGGCGTCTGAGGGCACGCATACACTGCCTCTGTGTCTGTCACCTTCGTGTCACCTCAAATAACCAGCAAATTCAAACAGCATAAAAAGCTAAACAGCCTAATGAAGCATATATTTAGAGGGAAAGTCATCAGACCCATCCAAAAATATTTCAAATGTCCCATTAAAAAGTCAGAAAGGCTAAAGCAAAGCCTCAACTGACTCAGTCGGAGGCAGACGTGGGCACGCCGTGGCCTACCTTCCAGGGGCTGGCAGGCTGGGCGGCGCTGGCTCGCCATTGGGGCTGCCGTCCTGCCGCGGGCTGATGCTGAGGCTGGCTGTCAGCTGGGGCATCTTGCGCGTGGTGTCCAGGCTGGCAGTGCCGCCGCTCCCAGCGCTGCCACTGCCAGGAGTGTCCTTCCTAGGGCCAGGGGGTTGCAGTGAGGCCACCGGGGGGCTGCCCCCGACGCTGGGACCAGCACTGAAGCGCACTGCCAGGCTGTCCCCAAAGAAGGAGTAGAGCTCGCAGTACATGGCAGGAAGGGGCACAGGTGTCCACTCCTCCCAGGGCAAGCCTGCGCCGCCCGCCTGTAGGTGGCTGGCGATACCCAAGCCCGGCTCGGATTGCGGCTCAGGGGGTGGGCTCAGCCCGGGGGAGCTCTCACGGCCTCCGATGGTCCCCCCAGCACCCGACATCCCATCAACCCTTACTTCTGTTGACCCAGACAGAGACAGGGCCTTCATCTTCAGCAGACGTTCCACTGCCACCTGCAGGGGGAAATGTGCGATGACAAGCGCACATCAGTGGCTGAAACTTTAAGAACCATGGCCGACACACGGCAGTAGTGTGCACACGCACCAAGATGGCCCCATAAACCTTGTGCCCGTCAGCCTTGACCTGGGCGTTGGACACAGAATAGTCATCCAACACGGCCTGGAGGTTGGCCCAGTAGGCCGGGAGGTGGGGGTATAAAACACGTTCTACAGCCTGAAACACACAAGCAGGGGAATAAAACTCTGGTTAAAACAAACAGAAGCAAAAAGAAAAGCACTTCAATAACAACACACATGACACGGGGTGGGACTAAACTCAGCAGATGCCCGTGATGTCTTCACTGACCACAAATGGCAATCAGAGGGCAGTACCTTCCAGCCCAGCGCGTGCAGCCCCACCACAGCCCCATAGTGCGAGCAGAGCGGCCGCACGGGGTCCGACAACACCTTCTGAAGGGACAGCAGGATCTGGTGGTACAGGCCACTCACCAGGTCCCCATGGGTCCTGCCAGAGGCAGAGAGTGCATTTGGTCACATAAAACTGACCGCTGAGGGAGTCTATTTTTACTTGCCGGTAGTCTGTCATTGTGCAGAGAAGTTAAAAGAATCAAAAGAAACAAGGAGAGCTACTGTAATGGCAAACAGGTGAGCATCAGTCCAGAAACAATCTAAGCCCACAAGTCCCAGGATAATCTCTGCATTTCTGCCATCTTCACTGGCCATCAGAGAGGCACCATAACGTTCGGCTTTGAGGCAGATTATATGTATATTTGTGAGGCTACATGCCCACCAGAAGATGTGGCTGAGCAGCAAGGCGGCATAGTCACGCAGGGTCCAGTGGTCATTCAGGGGGTTAATGGAGGCGGCCAGAGGCTCCAGGATGCAGTACATGACACTGGACACCAGGCTGCGCACGTAAGAGCCCAGGTACAGGTAGGGGTTCTGCACCAGGCTCTTCACCATGTGCAGCAAGCGGTTCAGCTGCTCCAGGTCATGGCTGACAGACTTCACCTGGGGGGTGGAAGGGGCGGGACACTAATCAGCTCAGGCTGATTCTTCACATTAGTAAGCACCGCTGGGCCTTTCCTCTGTCTGGCTGGCAGCCCATTCCAGGGCACCGGTTTGACGTAGCTGCTCTTTGTGACCATAAGCACTTGCATTCTATATGTTCTACTGGAAGGCGATGCTTTAGCTGCTGGTGTATTTCCAGTTTTAGCTGGCAGAAGTTTATTAGTACACAGTACCAATAGCCTACAACCACTGACATCCTTTTAAGATTAAGGCTTTACTTTTTTTTTTTTTTTTTTTACTTTGCTTATCCACAGTATCTTAACAGACTTTTTTTACCTGGTAATTTAAATGTTTTTAGGATTACTCCCCCTCACATACAACTGTCTCAATAAAATTATATAAGACAATAAGTGTGTACATCATTCATACCGCCCAGCCCAAACCCCTTTCCTTTCACCAACATCAATTTATAATTATGACATAAGTTATCATACTCATGATGAGAAGCCAATCCCCAGAAGAACATGTGCACACAGACATGTGGAGAAAAGATCTCTACAGGTTTGAGGTGTAGCGTTTGCTCGGCCTTGGTAAGTCCCTATAAACACAGACAATGTCTTGCTTGCCTCCTCAGATTTCTTATGTACAAACAGGATCTTACCCCACTGATGACATACACGAAGTATGGAAGGAGTGCAGCAATCTTCGAGTTTGACTGGAGATCTAACAGAGCCACCTAAAGCAGAGGACTTAATGTAAACATTACCACTGTCTAGATCAGTGGTTCTCAAACTTCTTCTGTCATGCTCCCCTTTGGAAGCAGTATATTTTGTTTCGCTGCCTGAAGGGAAGGGAAGGAAAGGAAAAAAAAAAAACACACAGAAAGGCACTGATTGCTATTGCTCCCATTTGAAAAACATACATTCAGCTTTGGTTCCGCTCAGAGTACGTGAGCAGAGCAGAGCGGAAGCGACCGCAAAGTGGCATATTTGAAAAAATATGGAGCATCCCCTTATCTCTCGCTCCGTCTTGCTCTTGCAGGGTTCCCAACTCTCATGCATCTGCCGTGACACACAAGAAATCTTACGGCAAATCTATATTATTCCATTATAAATGTAAAAATAGTCATATCAAAAGTGTTGGGGTAGTTTGCAAACCCTACAATCTATTTACAAGGTAATAAAAGTAAACGTGCGTGCAGACTTGTATCAAATTGTATCAAAATCCCACGCCAAAGTTGGCAACCCGCTCACATCTTGAATTAATTAATTTCTGCTTAAATGTGGATTTGGGTGCTCAGTTATTTTGATGCCAGGAAATAATTCAAGCTAAAATTAAAATACAATGCGGATTGTTTTCTTTTTGGGAGCGAATGCTTAGCAATGAGTGTGAGCGATGAGTGTAAATTCTCACTGCTTCGCTCCGCTGACATGCTCTGGTTCCGCTACACATTTTAGAGCACTCTCTCAACCTGGATTTGTTGTGCCATACACTTTGAGAATCACTGGACTAGACCCTCCCCAGCAAAGAAGCGAATAATGTGTGCTACCAACTGCCATTATGGAAACTGCTGATAAGGAGAAGTGTCAGGTTTGACCTTCATGAGGTGTGGGTCCTCCCCCAGGATGGAGCGAGTGATCTGCTGGTAGTACTTGTACAAGTCATCTGACAGAGACTGCACCGCAGTAGGTACTGCAAGGAATACGACAGTCACTTAAAGCTCATGTGCAGCTGAAACACAGGAAGAGGTGATTTTACCCAGATTATGGTGAAGCTAGATGCCTAATCTTACCTGTGCCCTGAGGCTCTAGGTTTCCCTTCCCGTCAAGGTAGGACACTTGGACTGCCAAAAATAAAACCAGCATTTAATCTTAACAAGTTACTTATACACTGACATGCAGTATGACAAGATACAACCCAAGATGTGAGACACAATGGCGATACCACACACAGATGAGAGATGGTCAGAGACGGAGCCACACTATGCCTGGACACAGAGAGGGCTTCGGACACAGAGGCTATACCTCGCACCATGGTCTCCGCACAGCCCTTGGGAATATTTGTGGCCAGTGCCAGCTCCACCAGGTTAACGTCTCGGTCCTCCACAAAAAACAGCTCCCCTTCCTTTATCGGCCTGAAGGGCAGCACATCTTGGGCCCCATACCCACAGACCACCTGTGAGATGCATCACCAAAAAATGTTCAAACCCATCCACCCATCAAAGGACTACCCACTGGACTGAGCAACCAATGGCAACTGCTACCTGAGGATCAGCACACAGCTGTGTGTCTGCTCACCTCCACGTTGCTCCACCGAAGCGCCCTGTTGAAGTCCTCGACTGTCAGTTTGCGCCGTTTGGCATGTCTCATGAATTGAGAGCTACTCTGTGAAAGTCAAAGTCAACAGTTGATCAATTAGCACCAAGGTTCCGGTGAGGCTGCTTACAGTGCAACAGAGCAGGCAGATACACGAGAAAACATAGAATTCTGCTAAAAACAGGCATGGGACACACAGATTACACCCACCCTAAGCAGTTAGAAAACACTCAGCTGAAAACAACATCTCCTGAGTTACTTTCAATAGAAATAACACATATTAATAGGGCAATTGGACACAACACACACACTGAACCAACACCCTCTACTTACCTGTGTAGCTTCTCTCAGGCGGTAGCACACATCCTCAGCCAGCAAGGCGGCAACTTCATCAGTGAGCTCCACTCCAGCGCTTTCGGCCATGAGCCTGACGGACTCCCGTGATACCTCGGCAAAGCGTCGCTCTTCTCTGTCGGCCATCGCTGTGGCGCTGCCCCCGTGGCCAGAAATGTATATGAATATAAAATAACTACAGAGGCAACACTGCCTTCAGGGTTGGAGCTTTGAATCCTGTCTCTCTCTGCTGGGTCTGTGGAGTTTGCATATTCCCCCATGTGTGCCCTGCGATGGACTGGGATCCCATCCAGGGAATACCCTAGTTTGAATTCTATGCTACCTGGGCCAGGCTACAGCACCCCAGACCTCTACCCCCAAAAACATAATTTTGACGTTGTTAAAAACGACTGCGAAAAAATTGCTAGTAGATTTTTTTAAAGATGTTTTTAATTTCGTAAAACTCTCGTCTTGTGGTGGCCATTACCTAATATCGTTTGACTGACAAGTAAATTAACAGTTAGCTGTAAAACGTAATGAAAACGGACCGAAAGACCGTTCTGCCCTGGATACACCTAGTATATTTCCTCTGTCCATAATAAAAGGCAAAGTCATAGCAAACCTGGTAGCTTTGTAGGGGTTAATGTTAACGATCAGTCTATTCAGTCGAGATAACGCGCTGAAGCACTGAGTTAATGTTACTCAGTACTTAAGTTTGCTACAATTTTTAAACAAGCAATTTCAGTAATGCTTAACCTACTTAAGGCTACTTCACCGTACCCATCGAGAACTCGACACTGTACAGCTCCATACGCATACCCTTCCCCCAAAACCATAAGTTTTCCATGCAGAATCGATTGCGCATTTTTAACGTTTAGGCAAAGCCGGCTCCTACCTGCTAGACCAAGACGGTTATGCCCCAGCGAGCAGCCCGCGGATGTACCAGCACTTTCTGCCCTCCGACAAAAAAAAAACGAATCAACTTCCGGTGTTGCACACCGCCTGGCGCGATGATTCGTCGAATAGTAACCCGCATTCACTTACGACATTCGGCATGGAGTCGACCGGAAGTTGGTCTGGTCTGGCTCTCCTACTTTGCTTTCACTTGAAATACTGCTTAACGAATAGTTTTTAATAGGGAAGGAAACGTTTCCAACTTTACTCCTAGAAATGTTACGCAAAGTACAGTTCTAGCAGATTGAATGCTTCAAAGTAACCCTTTTGACGCGAATTGCGTCTTTTTCGAGTAGAGACGACATATCAATTTGATCACGTTATTTACTTTGATGGACCGCCTGTGTTCTGGTGGATTCACCACAACCCACCAGAGCACAACTAACATGCAAGACTTGTTCTTGCACCACACTAAAGGGGACACTTAAGTAACAGCTATCCACAAATTGAATGCACAAGAGTTTGGCTTAAGATTGAATGGTTTATTATCCAGGAGTGGAGAGGTTAGTCTCAAAATAAATTAGTCAAACACCTTAAATTACACAAGGATTAAATACCAACATTCAACGTTGACTTGTGTCATCTGAGAAATATGTACAAAGATTAAAAACAAATAAAATATTAGTTCACACTAAAGGCTCCATTTAAATATTCATGTGCTGATAATGGCAAGTCCAGTGACTCAAACCTCTCAGGTTCCAGTAGCAGGTCCCAGATACACATACTATCCTAGCACACATGGCACAGCAGAGGCTGTAATGATCATGCAAAAAAAAAAAAAGTTGCACGTGGAGATACTGCTCAGAAAACCCCCAAAGTCTGAGAAACACTGACTCAAGCAATATAGAACAGCAATCAACATCTAGATGTAAAGGAAACCACACTTCGAATGGTAGAAAAAATATCCAGGCTCAGACTGACACACATTAAATAAGCATGCTAAACGCAACTGTGCCATCAAAATACTACCTCTTAAGTTGGTTTTATAACAAAAACACCCCCCTTCCAAAATTAAGATTGCATACATGGAGGTTTAAAAACAGGACCATCATCCACTTAGACTAAATGCTTTTACCCTCCACACCTGGGGAGCTATTGACCTTTGCAGGAGTACTTTCCAGCTGCTTCAACCTCCAGGCCAGAGGCAGGAGGAGGTCACTCAGGTGTTGGCTGGAGAAAGTGAATGCATTGTGGCCCAGTGGAACAGAAGAGGCTATTGGTGGGGTGAGGGTACAAGAGTCATCCAAGTATACAGGTGAAGTGAGAGCAGATTGAGGAGGGGAAGAGGATGAATCAGACGAAGACAGCAAATCTGAGGCTAGGGACAGGGCTCTCCCAGCCAGCTGCTGTGCACAGGAAACACCCAGGCTGCAGTCCGGGCCTCCAGCAGAGTTGGCTGCTGGAACTCTGTGCTGGAAGCGACAGCGAGTCCCATACAGGCAGAAGCCAAAGGAGCTGAAAGTGCGGCACAGAGTGCCAGGCTGGTGGCCCCCTTTATGCTTACCATTCTCATCCTCATCACCAACATCAACATGCAGAAAGTTGCAGCGGGCACCAAACGGACACACACCGAAGGAGCGGAAGGTACGGCAGGGGATGTTGCGGCGCCGCGGCCTGACCTGCCTCTGCTCCTCAGGTCCGTGCACAAAGAGGCAGCGTGCACCATAAGCACAGTAGCCAACAGTGTGGAAAGCATGACACAGCTCTGTCTTGTACTTGGGGTGACGGGAGGGCACGCGTAGGTCATGGAGACCGTGGGCAAACTGACAGCGCTCAGCATACTTGCAGGAACCGGTCTCAGCATAGCGGCTACACAACTCCGTCTTGTAGCGCGTTGAGCACAGCCATGGTGACTGGGGCACATGGGAGGACATGGGGGATTCCACCAGCGGCAGCAGAGCCTCTGCCAAGGACAGGCCAGACCAGTGCAGAGGTTCAACCGGAAACAGGGACTCCTCACTGTCCTCATCTTCTGGGTAAGGGGTGAGCAACAGGTCTGCAATAGACTAGGAGTAATGGAAGGCAAACAACCTAAATGAAAATCTGTTTGGAGTATGTCTATGGCGTTTTCACTTTTTGAAGTACTGTATACGTTTGTGTGTTCACAATTACATACCTTTTTGAAATTCCACCAGAATTGTACTTACATTTCTTTAGCAGACGTTTTTATACAAAGCGACATTTGAGAAAGCAGGTGTTAGCCTTACTTAAGATTTGGAAACTAGCAACCTTCCAAACCACTTATCTCCTAAAACAGGAACAAATTGATGTACTAATATACCATTAATATACCAATAGAGGTGTTCTGCAGGCACAACATACCAAAACATAATTTATGCACATTAAAACATATAAAAAATAACCCACCTCCTCCTCAGACATAACTGAAGTCAAGTCCACTCTGAATTATCGGCCAAAAGAGATCTTCAGTAGCTGCTCCACACTCAATTCCCAGCAGGTCTTACTAATTAACTAAAACTCCCCTAAAGCAACTGAAAAAAGCACCATTGACGTATTACGTACATCGAAAGGCAATTTTGTATAAACCGCGCTCAGCTGCTGTACTTGATACGTCAAGAGGAGCGTCTGATAGCCAGCAAGATTAGAAGCGCCAGGTGAATTTCCTTAATTGGTTCGCACGGCATAGATAGTGCTGTAATAAACATTTGCCGCTATATGGGGGAAAACACTAAGGTCTATTCTTTGTTAATGTCGCGCCTGGATAATTTAATTAAACAGTTAATGTTTATTAGAATATGCAACTTGCATGTACTTCATGTGAATGATATTAGCACAATTAAAACTGCATCTTTTACGGAAGTTTGAAAATTTAGAATTTTTGTAGACAAAGACCGTATGTCTTTCAAATTGTGTCAAATAAAAGGTTGATCAATTCTTTAAAATTAAATTATCTACTGAAAGTATCAACACGTTGATTGAGCCTCATGGTTCAATAAATAGCCTACTTATTATGGTATTGTAAATGGGCCCTTTAAAATGTGCAATTTTTATTGAAGAGCATAATAGTTCAAATGTCTCAAGTTTTGTGGGACTGTGCCATTGGCATTGTCGGTGGGGGTCTATTGCCGGAGTTATTTCTCTTCCATACGCCATTTTCAATAGCCTTTTATAGATTCTGGCTGTACGCACAACCAGATACACATACTACATGCGCTGGATCAGCCCGTATAAAGCGTGAACAGTGGGACATTCCAGAAGCCGCAATCGGCAACGTGATCAACGCTCCGTGTCTCACTGCTACTGGCGGGGAGACGGTGATAGCAGCAGATAGGAAGATGGGGATTGTGTTCTACGACCCACCTGATTTTCGGGTTGGCATTGAACAAAAGAGCCCAATGAATCGAATTTCAGCGATTGGAAATCTATTTAATTTCTTTTTTATCAAAAACTTGGTTGAAATGGTTGTGTTGCATTTATGTTTTGTTTAATATAGAAGAAACAAATTGTCTGACGCATTTAAGACCAAGTTCAGGCAAAGTTAGGCGTCCATGTTGACGTTAGACAAAGCCGTGAGACTCGACTGATCCAGAACGGAATTACTGGCTATCAACTACATTTTTTATAGCTGAAACATTAAGATATGCACATGGACTTGTGAAAAGTATGAGAGAAACTTACAACAATTTTCACAAAAAAAATGCACAAGGAAAATTTGCACGTCAAGAACAAAAAAACCTTTATTTCTTATCTCAAGATACATTAATGGGGTACATAGACACTGGAATTTAAAAAAAAAAAAAAATTGTAGCATATTTCTCTAGCGTACAAAATCCACTCCCCGTTTCCGAACCCATACCCAGTCCCCACATCTGGTAATGCAGACCAATTACAAGTTCCATATATTAAACTCCTCCACAATTAAAAGAACAGAATACTCCAGATTCCACTTTGTTCCTAAACGGTCTGTCCTGCCAATTTACCTTCAGCTGGCTTCTCAGTCTGCGCAGATTAATCTCAAAAAACACTTTAGGTTAATTTTCCAAAGAAATTCCTAACCTACCTCTGGATGCTTGAGTCAAAAGTGCAAAATGGACCATGAAATAGCAACCTTAACCAATTAATCCTTTTAAATTTGTCACCTGCTGATGAAGAAAAAGCCAACCATAATCCAGGTCAGCCGCTGGGGGGAGGGGGGGCGTATCCCTGAGGAAGACAACCAGGGCCTGGTTCAGCTCCTTTCACCGCTCTAGCAATAATGGACAATCTCCTCTGCAGGCTGTCTTGGTCCAAGTGGAAATCTCAATGCTCAGCGGTGTATCTGCAGTCATTAATTGGCCAGCGATTCACTTCAGGTGTGAAGGTATGCTTAGGCTTTCACCCGATCCTCAAACAGCATGGTCCATCTTCAAACTTCTGCCATTAGCCTTGCAGGCAGGTGCGTTTCCTTCTGCAAAGGCTGACACCCCCCGGACATTAGCATAAGTGCATCCAATGGGATGGTTTTACACGTTTATGCAGCCATACCACACCAGTGTCCTCATCTTCACCCGCTGCCACAAATCTTCATGTTTCTCTGTGAATTTCAGCTGGCTGTTCAGTACTGAGCACATTACTGTTTGCCAGCATCAGACGCCGTGTTCCTTCCACATGTCCACTGAACCCAGTAGCACTTGCTGGTCAATCTTTCCCACAGGGAACAAACTTCCGCCCATAGGTGGTGGAAAATCCATAGCCCGAGTTTCACCCACTAGATACACTTTCACACATTATAAAGTCATTCAACTTGAGACTGAACAGATTCCATAAGAGGAAAATTATCCAACTGGACCTGGAAGTCAAACTAATTATGAGGAGAATTAACCTTAAACGGTCCATAGCAAAACTGCTACAATAGGACCCTTTTCAATATAAACACCTGGTTTCATATCCACAATAGGGATAATACAGCCAATTTACAAATTTTAAGAATGCCAACAGATTTTGCCACATCTGTTAACAAGATTCCAATACCAGTGAGGGCTAAGAGTATGATTGTTTGGATGTTGGAGGTTTAAAATGACCAGAATATGGCATCTTTACAAGTCATACTCACAGTGTATTTTCTAACCCAAAACCTGGGGGAGGAGAGTTGTGTTTGTTTTGTTTTTTTTTGGGGGGGGGGATGTTTCATAAAGCCTGCTAAAAACAAATTATTATTAATTATACAGAGATGGTGGCAGTTATTCACTCTTAGTCCACTGAAAAATATGACAGGGAAATAGGGGGGCAAATCCATTGCCACCAAGCATAAAAATTTCATCCAAATGTCAAAATTCCCACCCTCACCACCCACCATCCCAAGTGTAACATCTCAAATTCAGAAAATATTTACACAAAAAAGACCTGAAGGAAAAAGTGTGCTTTAACGATTTGAACATGAGCACAATTCTTTATACACGTGTTAAAATTGTTAAAAATTTGAAATGACAGTAATAAAATGATTTAAAAGCCAAAAAAAACAATACCTATTGGGGTAACGTGTGCAAGTGGGTTGGCGAATGCATTTGGGTTTACGGTTTGCACACTATAGGGTTTTAGAAAGTAGACATATCCCAGGAAGGGTGAATAACAAAAAAAGACAACAACAATATGTATGATGGCAGGCTGCTCAGTCCTCAAGCACAATGGGCTCGTTGGTGCTGGAGGGCAGGATGGAGCCTGGCAGTGGACGAAGGGACGCTGGCAGCTTCACCCGCACGGCAACGTGGGGCTTCCTGGCCGCTCTCCTCATCTCTGCCTGTGTCAGGTGTTTCCTGAGGGCTCTGAAATATCACCATACACACCACTCTATGCTCAGGATTTTGCAACAATGCACTCAGAACTCAGTTGCCTAAGTCCCAAGAACAGTTTAAAAACTGCTCCTCTTGACGTATCAAGTCCAGCAGCTGAGCGCGGTTTATACAAAAAGTTTAAAAAGACAAGAACTGAAAATAATGCTTTAAGAGGTCTCAGTAAACCATACTTACACAAAAGCACTGGCTAGCTGCAATATCACTGTACAATAAAATCCTATACATCAGAGTGCTTTGAGGTATTATACTAACCCTTTTACATACCCGTATGGTGGGAGACCCACCTAGAGCATGTTCTTCAGATGTACTTTTGAGGTCTGCCATGGCCCTGTGAGAACACCCACCTGGTGTCCTTGGTGGCCACAAATACTACAGGGTTGGGAGCATCTCCCTGGTTGACCTTCTGGCGCTTGATGACAGACTGGGAGGTGGTCCTCATGGCAGAAGTGAATGGTCTGCCGTTGGCAGCAAAAGGGAGCCCAGCAACCTGCAAAACACAGAGGGGCATCAGATGATTGTAAAGCCTTCAAGTCATGGCTGGTGAAAGTGACGTAGATGATGTTACAATCAACCTGTTTCTAACAGGCGATGCATACTCAGCTGGTACTTACACTGTCAAAGGTCCTCTTTCCCAGCAGGTTACTGGCTGCCCGAGGCTGCGTCACCTGGTTGCGGTTAATGGGGGTAGGGGCTCCCCTGGGGGCCTTCAGCTTCAAAGGAGCCTGGAGAGCTGACAGTGAAGACAGAGAGTCACCCAGCCTGCATGGGTAAGTCAGACTCCACTGGTCTCCGAAACTGCAGGCGTCACACTGACTGGCTGTCCTAGGTGTCAGTCTTACCCAGCTCTTTAACTATGGTGACCAGAGTGGGCCGAACAACTGGCCGGTTCTTCACAGGAGTTTTAGATGCTTTAGGGAGCCGGATCATGCCTGAAAGAAAAAAATTAAGATTCGACATGAGACAGCTGATTATTGATAGTCGATAGTGTTGAAAATATTGATTTTGATACGCATCGGTTCTGTAATTTTGAAACCGTACCAATATTCATTTTCCAAAGTGTTGAATTTATCCATGTCAAATGCACTTTTCTCTTTGTTCATGCTTTGGACAGTGAGGTGAGGCACGCACACAGACTGTCACAAAGACGCACACAGACTGATACAGGAATGCACAGACTGACACAGAGACACCGACTGACACACACACAAACACAGACGCACAGAAACAGATTCATAGAAAGACACATTAGAGGATTTGCCCCACCTCCTCTCATTCACATGGCAACTACTGCAGACCCAAGATCCTCCATGACTGATTTTGGTCAATAAGTAGGCCTTCATTGGCTAGTGGAAAAGTGACCATGATTCAGAAAGTAGTTGGACCAAAGATTATATATAAATACCCTGTTTTTTACCATCTTTCATTAGACTGATAACAAAAAAGGCTAGCAGATTTGAAGAATGGTTGACTGAGAAAGAAATGTAAAGATTCCCAAATGGCTACAAACTAAAATAAAATACCTTGGTATTGCAATGCAATATACCATTTTTTTTTTAGTTTTTTTTATTTGGTTTTCTACCATTTTTATTTTCATTTGAAATCTAGTTTAGTTTGATTTGTGGTTTCATTAGTATTTATTTTAAAGATGTAAATCTATTTAGTTATATATTTTACTTTAGGTGTTAGTAAGTTTATTTCTAGGGTCTGACATATCTTATCTTGTATATCTGTGTTGACACCTACATCAAGAGGAATCTCTCACACTTGGTACTTGGTGAACAATAAAGATTCTGAAACTTGTAGGACTTTGCTGGCCACTACAAACTATCACAATGTACTGCCATTGACTATTTGTATGGTTTGTTGTACAATGTATGAGAGGCCCAAAGATAAATCATTACTTTAGCTAAACAATATTTTAAAATGGTATTTGAAGTTTTTATTCCAGTTGGTTTCAGAACCAATATGTATAGTTGTCATTTAGTTCTAGTTTTATTTTTGTATCTTATTTTATTATCAGTTTATGGATTTTTTTTCACTCACAATCATAACCATGTCAAGTGTACTAAGAGCATAATGCACAGTTAGTTTAAGTAAAATTCAAATTTATTCTTATAACATCCATACCACACTTCATAAATGTAACTTAAGAGCAAATTCGCTTTACAGCGCTACCTCAGGGCTGACGTCAAAGTACACAAGTGCCTGGCGCAATTACTCTAAGGATGAACATTCAGGATCGTGGATGGTCTGGCACTACAGCGCACATGCTTTCACATTAAGTATTAATCATGTTATTCATTTCTGAATGTGTATCAGAGACTTTTCCACAGGTACTATACTTTCAGAAATGTACTTTTTGAAACTACTATTAATGTTTAAAGAAGTATTAATCTTGAGTTCAGACTCATGCCAAAAACAATACTGAAAATTATTTGGATCCCATAAAAATCACACAATACATAAATATTAGTGATACATAATATTTGCATAGTACTACTAACAGAAGTGTACACACTACATCCATATTATTAAGTCTTTGCTTTGGGTACGGCACCCATTCTTTGTGACCCTGGAATCTCGTATTCCTGCAGTAACTTTTAAACTTTTCAGTGTCATTATTGTTTCATTTGTAATATTAAGTCCCAGTGAGTACCGTAGTAACTTTGTACATACAGGTGTACAAGTTAGATGGTTTGTATATTAAAAGGCAGGGGTGTCCAATATTATCTGCAAAGGGCCGGTGTGTATGCAGGTTTTTGGGATAACCTTTATGTCAGCTGTTCAAACCCAGGTGTGAGGACTCTTCAGCCAATCAGTCCTCTAATTAGTAATCTAATTAGGGAGTTGCAGCGAAAACCCACATACACACCGGCCCCTTGCGGATAAGTTTGGACACCCCTGTTATAAGGTCTACATAGGAAATGGCAAAGTGTACAGCACAGTACTGTTTGTTTAGAAATTGGTAATAAAGACCATGTCATCACTGAGGCTAGCAGAATGTTATGGGTTGAGGTTAGAGCTGCCTAAATATTATTTGTGAATTTTCACATTTGTAGGAATTTCACGTTCTCTTTCTTAGGCCATTGGGATCTGGGACAGGACCAGCAATTTCTTCTGAATGTTCCATTCAACTATCCATCCGCTAAACAGAACCTTACAAGGCAAATTACAAGAATGCAACTATGACACCACCTTTTAGCACATGCAAAAAGCCCTAAATTATGTCAGAAGAAGATCATTTGTCATCACATAATGACTTCTGACAATCAGAGCAAGCAGGTAATGTACTCCCTGTGGCTCACTAACATTCCTCTTACTATCGAAGGATCAGTAATTTAGTCCTTTACCAGCACCCAAATTATTTGGATGCAAATAAGAACCTTAAACTAAATGAAAGACTGAAAAAGGAGAATAGGTCAACTAAAAATCGAGTGAATGAAGTTCTCCAACTGACTATTCTGCTGGCTGATGAACTGCACCCTTTCCTCAAAATTCAAGCATGGGTTGTTATGAAATGCAGTGAAAATTCAGCAGGCAGTTTCCCTACATAAATTACGGAAACAAATAGTGTGAAGCAGCTTTTTCAATTGTGTAAAACAGTGGTTCTGAAACTAATGGCATGCAAAGTGTCAAAATGACGGTACGCAGCAAGGGCATGGCTACGGGTCAGCAGTCTGCCCACCCAAACATTGATAATGTGCTGTTGCCTTCCTCCCTCAGGTCCACAACTTTTACTGTAGTCACACCCCCATGCCATCAACCACTTTAAGCATCGTCATATCCTGGTAACGGCACATGTATATCTTACACTCTGCCTTGACGGCATTGGCATTGATGGAGGCGTAGGGGCGGCGAGCGGCACGGCGAGGCTGTAGGATGTCCTGGCACACCCGACGGGCGATTCTGGTTAGCTTGGTGGTCTGCAGGATGAAGGTCTGGCGGTTTTTGGCCAGCAGTTTGGCTCGGCCGGCGCTACTGGTGAAGGGAGACATGCCTTGCACTTCCTGGCGGGTCATATGAACTCGGGGGGCGGCATCCTTGGGAAGGAGGGATGTGAAAATGTGAATCAGGAAAAGTGCATGGCTCCATATTGTGAAAGCAAACTCCATTAACACAACAAATTTGTAGCAAATATATTTGTTCAAGGTTGTTATAATAAAGTGCAAATGAGGTTTATGTTTAGTATTTCTTGCATTTGGAAATTAGGCGTTTGCAAAAAATCTGGAGCTGGCCTTTTCGGCTCTGCAAAGTTGATGTGACAGTCCCATTTCAGGATTAACCTAAACTGTCAGGATTAACCTATACTGTCAGGATTAAAATATATCGTTCATTATGTCTTCATAAATAATAATAATTACCTAATAACAATAATTAGCTAATTAGCTAATAAAGAGTGAAATATATTTTACCCAGAATCATGCAGCCATACTAGAGACCACCCAAAAGATATTGGTGCCCGATGACAATCTTTGCCAATAGATTGATAATGATAAAATTTGTTGGACATTAAGTTGTGTTTTGAAAAATGAGACCTGCAATTCTTAAAATACAAAGAATATGACCCCTTCTCCACAAGACTATAAAGAGCACTATGTAGCTAGAATGCAATAACTAAACTGCCACAAAACTAGTAATGCCATACGTACCGAACTTGCTCTTGTGGCGCCCTCTAGCTGTGTGGGGGTTTTCAGACCTCCATACTTCTTCCAGTAAATCCAGCATGATGCGCACAGTCGGCACTGCATGTTGGGGGGGCCCCAGGCATACCACTGTGGTGACTGAGCAGCTGCAGGATGTACGAGAGCAGGGTGACAAAAGCCCCAGTTATCAAGTACCAACACACCACAGGATTCCAGTCAGCAATGTACTGTGTGTGAAATTTCACAGTAGGTCTACCTCATTTAATAAGGCAGCTGTTCATGCTGCCATGTTCATGCACCAGGTGTTGCACGTCTGGAGAGCAGATACTCACTGTGGCAGCTCTCGCAGCTGAGCCCTTTCTGAAAGCCTGCTGCTCCATTCATGCCAGGCTTGTTGCCTGGGGCCATGATCTGGTTCGGGTTGGGCTTGGTACTGGTAAAGAGAAATAAAGTAATAGGTAAATAACAGAGACACTTCACAATTTTACATAATAATACGACGACAAAAATGTGGAACATTTACATGACACTGCAGTTTCTGTCCAAGCATTTTTATTAAAGGCGTGTGAGCTACAACACTCTACTCAGCAGAGTATGCCATGACCAACTGAACAATGCCTGAAGAACACGTACTCATACAAGATGGACACACAGGGTGAGATGTAAGACAAGAATGTTTACACAAACACAGACATTGAGAACCAGCACAAGCGAACACAGGTTCATATCTGATGAACAATCAGACTAATAGTTAGAACAAAACGTCACCCAAGAGGACCACTTACTAGGTTGGGATGTAAACCTGTTTCAGTTTGCTGTCTGCTTCTGCTGCTTTCAGCCTTTTCTGAACACAGAGAAAGACAGAACAACTAACTATTAGCAAGTTTTAAATACAACAAGCTTGACAATGCATCAGGCATTCTGTTATGGAGGCCGAATACAGCTCAAGAGAAAAATAATGACCATTTCCGTTTGTGAGGACGGAATACAGCTCATCAGTGACACTACACTCACTCCATGGTTAAGCTTCGCTTAGCCTCAAAGACACAGCACAGCAGTTTACTGTTGAGCTAAACAGCAGTTAGTTCAAACTGACAAGTAAAGTGCTAATGTGTTATATTGTGAATGAGACAACGTGTCAGAGCTGTCATATAATCGGCAGAGCAAATGAGCTGTGTATATGTCAGAGAGCTCACCTGCTGGATGTAGCGGTCCGTAGTTTTCCACATGTAGTAGAATTGAACAACACTGGCCAGCGATTTCCAGGGCAGCTGTCAGGGAAATTCAAACATGATGCGTTACCCTAAACCCAGAAGCACACCACCCTCACACTGTCAGCAAGCATCAACAACTCATGTAGGTTACTTACTGTTTTACCTGTTTTGCCTACAGGTGATGCCATAACTACAAAATACCAACATTTAGAGGTGTCAGGATAACTTGAGTAAACTGTATCACTCTATTTATTTTAAAGCATCGATTAAAACTTGCCTTCTCAATCACTCTGCAACAAGGCAGACCAAGCACAGAGGATAAATAAGAGAATGAAAGCAACAGCTGTGTAAGAACACCACTTTAAAAGTGAATGACAAAGTCATTGCAGAACTTCAATGTCACTTCACAGCAGCATGACTGCAAAAGACGACATGACATCCACGTACACACCAAATTAATGCAAGGTTAGCCATAGACAACTATTAGCTATGTACTGTATAGCCTCTTGGGAGTAGCCTGGACTGTCTTTCTCATCACTTTGACTTAAATTATTTAGCTCAGTTTACTTTCCATGAATCCTGCATCTCAAGATAATCACAGCTAAAATGAAGGCTAGCCCCATCACATACATAATATGGCACATAATAAGCATACATTAATAACAGTTGTGTGTGTGTATATATGTGAACATATAATAGTATATTTGTTATATTTATGACAAATATTGCAATATTTAGACTATAAAACGAAGTGAAATGAAATTAAATGAAAATGTATCCAAAATAAACTACAGTCAAGTAAATAATAAATTAGTGTTGTTGCAGAGCATTGTGCCAACAGACACAAAGCAGAGCCAACAAATCCCTTGGTCTTGCTCAAAATCTGCTCTATAGAATACAAAATATTTCCATACAGAAGACAACAAATATCTTCTGGTGACCCGTTCACTGCATGCGTGAGTCACTGTGCACCCTGCGGTGAACTGGCAGCCCATCCAGGGTTGGTTCCTGCCTCGCACCAATTGTCACATGTATCATATATTACTCGATTAAATCGAGCAAATTAATTGGTAGACTATTCAAATTGTTAATGTAATCAATACTGACAGTCCTACTGACATATAACCTAATTTAATCATCGTGATATTGATTCAATGAAAGTTACTTCCTTTGTCAAGTTTCCTAAAGTCCTGGGGGCTGCAACGACTCCTGTCCTTTCCTTCAAGCATCATGTTACCCAGAGCTGCCCCCCCCACCCCCCACCCCCCACGGCTTAATGCTTCCTTGGCCAGACACTCACAAAGTCCTGGCGTATGTCGTTGAAATCCTTGCCGTACTTCTCCAGCGCCTCTTCGAACAGCATGGCCTCGGAGGCACTCCATTCTTCCATCTCATCGCGACACAGCACTGGGCCACCCTGGGGCACCAGCGTGGACATGGCACGTGCCAGGTCGTACTCGTTCTTCTGCAGGGTGTCCATGGCGTGAAACTGCAATGTGGGCATGGGCAGTACTGAGCCATTTTGGCTTGGCATTACTGACTGACACACAACCTCCATATTTAGCTACTTTTCTCAACTTTTCCCCACTAGATTAAAACGCAATTAAAAATCCAGCCTGGTTGGATGCTTCCCAAAGCGTTACTGTATTAGCACTATTGAAGGCTAAGACTAAGGGGACTTGGAACCACCGGTGAATGGATGAGCTCCCTAGTCTACTCGCTGTATAATCTGCAGAGGAGATGAATGCAGCAGACGTGTCCTTCTCACCAGTGTGATGTCTCGCGAGGCGGCAGCAGCGCTCATGTGCAGGCTGGGCTGTCGGATGGAGCTGCTGCAGTCCAGGGCACGGGCGAAGGTCCCCACTGCCCTGCACCCCCCCCCACACACACACACACACACACATTACCATCTGCACATCCAGCACAGGCCTACATACTGCACAGCATGAGTACAGCCCCAAGGTTTCCACCCCCGAGCCCAGTGACCTGCTGCACAGCCTAGCCATGATCAGACTCGAAAGGCCACAGGATAATTTTCATTTCAGGGGATTAAGAATGGGTCTCAGTGCAAAGGTCTGCAAAAATGTCGAAGAACCATCAAAGAAACATCAATCTGTTCTGTGGATAAGGCTTGTAATGCCATTGTCGTCCAGGAGATGGCAACAGCTGCCAATGTAACTGAACACAACAGGCCAAAACACACCAGTCACGGCTAGACAGGGCATTTTGTAATCAACAGACTAGTGCAGATTAGCCATTTTCCATGCAGAACTAGTCCAAGCAGTATCTAGCTAATGGCAGCACACCTGTGTTATGGTATCTATACTCTCAGCATGCATTTTCAAATTGCTGTTACAGTATTTCAATATCATAAACAAAAATCACTTAACAGCTTTGAGTCAGGCTAGATAATAGTAATAATAATAACAACAACAACAATAATAAAACAACAACAATAATAATAATGATGATAATTATGATTGCCGAGCAGTGACAGCCCCTACTGGACTTGGACGTGCAGTGACCGCAGAGCATATGGCAAGTGCTCCTGCAGAGACCCAGCTCATCAGTCCTTCACAGTCCAGTACACAGAACACTACAGTGTCCTTTCAGGCTTTGATCAGCCACTTCCTGTCACTGGGAAGCTTTAATTCTGAGAACCAGCTAGCCCTCCTTAACAGGCTCCACATCCATCCAGCAGCTGACCACAAGACCTCCATGGAGCCAGTATTTCTCCTAAGAGGACAGGATTTAGCAAGGCCAACATACCGTGCCACTACCAGGAACTGGTCAATCTGCTGATCCTTTAACTGGTTGTCTGGGTCCCACACCTTTGTCTCCAGCTTTTCCTGCACACGGTCATCCAAGTCCCCTGCACAGCAGGAGAAGACAGACATGTGGTCATACAGCCACCACAAGCTCCCCGGAGGCTCTGTATGGGGTAGCAGACTCTGTCTTTCTCACAGCTGGCCGCCACACATGCTCCACGTGCTTCTTCACAGCAAGCTACGGCAGGACAACTAGAGCAGGCAGTGATTAATCTCATCTATGCTGCAGCTGTTTCATCATCTTTATAATGAGCCTATTGAACACATTTGCCCTGAGACAGAAAACTGAAATAAAAATGTTGCAGGTGACTAAAAAGGTCAGAGGGGACATTGCACAGTCATTCACGCTCACCATCGGCAAGCTTGTCAGGAATTTCAGCCTGGTACTTGGAGCCAACCCGAATCTCGCCTTGGTCTGCCAGTAGAGTCTTCTGGACTGGGTCAAACACCAGAGAGTAGAAGAAATAGTCCTGGGACAGAATGGGAGATGAACAGGAGTAAACATATGATGTTCATGTAGAGCGGTAGAGCTGCCCGTCCGTGGTAAAGCAGAGCATGAAGCCCCAGCGGGTGGAATAGGATAGGCAGCAGCATCTCACCTCTTTCTCGAGGTAGCCAGTCAGCACATCTGTTTCATTGAGGAGGGTAACATTGCATTTGCCCCTGCAGAGATCAAGCACAGGAAGGAGAGACAGATCAGAGGAGATCGACAGAGGGCTAGATCAATCAGCATCACACAACTCAAGCCTGCTCAGATCATGGCTGGTAGAGTTACGTTAGAATCGGTGCTGTACTTTCAATCATGTTACGTTACAGCTACAGCTGCACAAAATATCTTCAACAGCATCACAGAGCTCACAGCTGATCATAAATTCAAGATACAGCTCTGTGCACTCAGCAATTTTAAAACAAAGTACAGTGGTACCTCGGAACTCGAACTTAATCCGTTCAGAACTCCGGATCGAATCCTAAAAAGTTCGAGATTTGATCGAATTTTCCCCATAAGAAATAATGGAAAACCAATTAATTGGTTCCCGGCCCCAAAAAAATTACACCTAAATATGTTTTTCTTAGCATTTAAACACAAAATGAACCGGATAAAGCAGGAAGAGCATATACTGTACTAAACACATCTAAGCACATTTATCAAAACAGTAATTTGTAAAGTAAGAAAATAAATGTATCCAAACAATGTGTAAAGTTAAATAAATAAAACACTGTGTCTTGCTCCGATGGCCCGCTCCATCCGTGTGCCACGCCCCCTCGTTAACCCCGTGTGGAATCAGCTGTTTCTGGTAGTCATTAGTCTTCTGTATTTCGTCCTCGTTTCAGTTTGTTTCCCCAGTCCGGTCATTGTATTGCCCGTCTGCATTTTGCCTGCCTTACCTGTAATTAAACCCCATATTCCCCGATACCCTCACGTCTGCGCCTTTGTCTCCATTCCGTCCCGCTCGGCATGACAATATTATTATAATTAAATGTATTAATGGTTTATTATTAATATTAAAATAATGAATAAGAAATCCTTATTTTTAAGTGTATTTTATTATATAATATTCACTTTTACTGTCTGTCATTGTCTAAATGTATTTTTACTGTCTAAATATATGTATTCAGTTAGTGTAAACAAGCAGGATGCTATCACAGTGAATGTGAGGCTGAGACTGAAGCTTTACCCTTTGTTTCCGCTGAGAGACGTGCCACGTGACTCATTTCCCCGCAAGTACAAGTTATCTTAGGTCAGCGTTCACAGTTTGACTTCTGAGATTCAGATCGAGCTCCAGGTAATTTTTTTTCAAACTGGTTGGTTCGACTTTTAAGAAATTTGAGTTCTAATGAGTTTGAGAACTGAAGTACCACTGCATTAGGGAGAGGCAAACACTAATGAATGCAGATTTCTAGACAACATGAAAACAGGTCTCTTCACCACCCAATGCAGCTGGCAGCAATGTGCCAAACTGTGGTGTTGGGGTCAAGCCCTGTGACTCCGCGGTGTGAGATTTGAAGAAGGCCGCACCGTATGTGAGTCGCAGGGAGGGACTCAAATTGCCGTGAGAGGAAGAGCTCCCTGTGCTTCAGCTGATGCTTCTGCTGCTCTGAAAGGGAAGGCTGCTTTGACTCCTCCTCAAAGTCTCCTGTGAGAGGAAAAATGTAACAAATCAGACCCCTCCCTGGAAGTATTATTTCAAACGTCGGATCAAGTGGTCCAAAACATCCGGAGCATCACATGTCCCAAAGCCCTTGTTGTAAGCAGTGTTAAAGGACTGAAGCAGGTCACTGGTGGATTAACTGCTGAGCCCAAAACTGAACATGAACTGTTCAATTTTTAAATGCCAGTAAAGGCACTGCACAAGCCTGTGGTTCAGTTACAGTGATGGTGATAACTGCATAAATGCAATTTAAGGGGCCAAATATTCTGCTCAATCCTTTACATTTTTTTTTTTTTACTCAAACTAGCACACACACACATACAGTAAGCCAGGAAATGGAACAGTGACATGTAGGAAGTGTAATTATGGGACTTTGCCTGTGGACTCCGCCCCTGCACTCAGCCACAGGAAACCCTGATGGAGGGGGAGGTATTTGAGGCCACACCTCTTTGTTAACCCCTCCTGCCCCCACCCCCATTGGCCAGCCAGCCCCTGCAAGACTCAGCAGGAAACCCCTGTACACTAAACCTAAAGTGCCCATCCCCCAAAATGTACACCTCCTACTAGGGGAAAAAAAAAATTGTGCACGCACACACACGCACACGCACACACACACACCAGCAGACTGACACAGGGACATACACACACCAGGCACACACAGGGGCATGCACGCGCACGCATATACACACTCCTTCACAAAGGCAAATCCAAGTGCGCTGGTTAATGCTGTGTTTGTCGTGGCATCGCTGGACGCACCAAGGGCCTTTTGTTCCAGGCAGTGTGTGAGGGCCGGAGGAGAAGAGAAGAGCAGCATGCCTCATGGGGGTCTTGTATAACAGGACAGCGCCAAGGCAGCAGAAGAAGAAACAAGCAATCAAAAGCGTGGAAGCTGAAGGGGAAATGGGGAGAAAAGCGAACACTCTAAAGGTTGGTTCATACAAGCACACCAATCGTGTATCCACTCTGCGTATGTGCGCACGGAAACATTCAGAGTTCTCCGGTGAAGCCGCTTTTATATTTTTAATAATAATAATAATAATAATAATATAAATTATTATTCTGATATTCCCAGCAAATGTACCAGAGTACTTAGGTTTGAGTCCGTTTTTCTATGTTTCAGAGAGCCAGCTCACAGGGCTGCGAACTTTGGTCAGCTGGCTGGCGTAAGATTTTCAATTCAAGACAAGTCTGCACACACATTTACAGGTATGGACACAAATTTGGAGTGCAGCAGGTGTTTGTCCGCGGAGGCGCACAATGATGTCAAACGCGTCATAAATGTTCCAGCAGACACGTTTGCTAATTCACGTGCGGAGAAGAATGAACCAGCCTTAAGCGAGCCATTGTGTGTCCAGTATGATGGGATCACAGCCAAAGCCCAAGCCCGGGGGGGTGGGGGGCCAAGGCAGAGTGCGGAGGCCGGAACGGCCACATGCACAGGGCTCTGCTGTCCATCAGTGTGAACAACCTACCCCCCCCCACACCGCCAACCAACAAAGCTGCAGTGGGCAGCCTTTTGTTGGACTTTCACTGTAATGTTTTTACAAACAAAATTATGCAACTGCTTTATGCTCTTCCGTCAGCAAAGGGAAGTGCTGATCTTAGTCTCCCTCCATTGCTGGTGTACTCTTAAGTCTGCCCCCCCCCACCACGCCATTCCATCCAGCATGAAGAACAACACCCGGCAGAAACCCGCTCCACACTACTGCCTTACTGCTTAAATATGGAATTAGATCTTAAAAAATGCATTCTCTCTCTGCACTGTGGCTTCAGTTACGCTGGGTGAAATCTCTGCTATGGCATCACCTGTGGATGTCAGAAGAGAGCAAAGCAGCGAGTCAGTGCCTCAGAAAGCAGAGGGTCGGTGCCGGGATGTACTCACTGGCATTGCTGTCGGCGAGGGTGTTAAGGCTGCCTGAGATGTCCCTCCGTCTGAACAGACACACCACCTTGGCTTCCACGTTGCCATTGGCCGTCTAGGGAAACACGCAGTGGTCCATTACGTGCCTCACGCTGCCCCCCACAGGTGTCCATGCTTTCCAAACCAACATGTCGCATGCATCTCTCGCATGGATAATATACACACACAAACATCCACGCCTCAAGAAAGCAGCATGCAGCAGCTGGCGTGTGTTTATTAATACTGTTTATGTTCCAGCTGCTAGAAAGGCTGCTCGTCGTCAACAACCCTTTATATCAACATGCAAGCACTCCCTCAGACCAGGATGCCAGAGCTAAAGCACCACTGATGAAGCCGCTGAAAGCACTGGTGGTCAGTAAAGCCCGTCTCGCCTCTCACTGCCTTTGGAGGCCAGGCAATGCTGCTGTGCCATTCTAGTCTGCCTTGATGGTTACATAAGACAGCTTAAGCCTTCCACAGGGGACAGAGTACACATGCAGAGTTACGCAAGCCGTCCACTGCAGGAGTGTGACCCTCACAGCTGCAGCGCTGTGTGCTAGAGACAGCAGAGGCCTGGCCTCCATGTAGGATTGAGGCTTTGGAGCCCAGGCCTGAGGGACTGTGAATCCGAACCCAGGGTCAGAGTGATGCTCTAAGGTTCTTTGGTACATTCACCCAACAGGAAGGTTAAGTCTGTGGCTCCCCTACAGACATTTTGCAAATGACACAACAATGCTATACTCACCTTGTTAAGCTCCTCTATCCGGCGAATCAGGTATGGGTTGCTGGAGGAGTTTTCAAAGTACACATAATCTGTGGGGGT